CTGTTACAACGTGCTTCACCCCGTTTGACTTCATGAGTATTAATAAAACTATTGATTGGTTAAGTTAAGCTGAAATAAACAAAAAATAATACAGTAATACGAAAAAATAATCACATCAGATTTTAATAAATTGAAAGAATACCAAAAAATAAGTACAGCTGAGGTATTTTTAACATTAGGTATATGATATATGGGAAGTTTATGGTATTAGAAAGGAATTACGCTTAAAGGGCAATTTGTGAAATAATGGATAGGTTTGCGGAAGGTTTCTCTTCATGACAAACATTTTTAGTATATGGTTCATGGGGGTGTGGATTGTAGTTTTCTCAAAAGTTCATGTGTACTTTGGGATTTATAAATGTATATGGATAGGTATCATTTTAGAATAAAATATTTAAAAATTACATGTAGAAATATAGGCATCTCCTGGATATCAGCAGAATTAAAATCCTTTCAATATGACTTCAAGAGCTGTAAATTACAAACTCCTTCCAAAACTACGTAGAACACTATAGAACTATGTAGAATGGAACGTCGTAATTGCATCAAAAGAGAAAACGTAGCTTATTCATGTAGCTGTTTAAGCTTATAGAGAAGGTGTAGTGCATTTAAATTATTTCGTAGTAGTTAGTTAGGTTTGTGCAGAACAAAAATGAATCCACAACGCAAAAAACAAATAGACTTTAATTTCTTGAGGGCCTTTTGAATATTTCAGGACATTGGTCCCTAGACAACCGCACTTCTGACAAAAGTTACACCCTCGGTGTTTTTTAGACTTTCACCCGAGAAACTTGGCAAATTCGTCGAGATACATTAATTCCTGATTAAACTCCTGGTGGTCTTCTAACCTTTCTGTATAAAACAACTAAAACACCTTTCCTTTAATTTGATGCTATTTTTAAGCTATGTCATTCATGTTAAGACAATAATAAAAACCCCTGTAATTCTGCTAGTAAATTGGTTTAATACGATATAAAGTACCTGTTAGATCCAAAACATTCTGTTAGTATGTAATAAATGTTTAATATACGAAACTGATAATTGTACTAGAAAAACTTATTTTATTATATTGTATCTTACCATTAAATTATTCCACTAAATTCAGATTATGTATTTTTAACGAAAATTATACCTTAAACAATACTAAATTAATGTATAATAAATAAAAAAGCACTAGATATAAAAAAAATATGTATAAGACAAGGTGGGCTCCATAGAGACAACGTGGAATCAGCAAAAAAAGAATAGTTCCTGCTTTCTGAGGTGGTTTTTTGCTATTTAAAACGCGAAATTAACAGGCCTTCAAGATAAACGTATTACAGTATTAATTAAATCCATGCAGTTTTAAATGTTTATCTTTACAAAGTTGTTACTTGCACGGCCAAATTTAGTGTTGCCTAGTTAAGTTATAAATCTTATTGGGCAAAATTAGCTCGTTACAGCATATTAATTTAAGTTTTATATAATATTATTACTACATTAAAATGTAACTGTCTAAATAAAGTAACCAAAGCACATTTTGAATAAATTATCACATTTTTGTGATTTATACACAGGAAGTATCCCCTTAGTTTCCAAACTGTCTGGCAGCTACATTATGTTTCAGTTGAATGGTTCATAAACCCGCCAGACAGAGTTATCAAACTCAACACAGACTCTATAGCTTTGATACAAGCTTTATTTATTTGTTTTGCATATTCTGAAACCTAATTGCGTGGATTACAACGTTTTAAAATAAATCAGTTCCCTGTCAGAACAATGATTCTTAGCCTAACAGACCTTCTTATGTTTATCTGTGAAATTACAAAAACAGTTTTTCCTTTTTTAAGTTTTTCTCAAACAGTAAGATGGAATATTCCAACTCGGACATATACAAATGTAGATCAACATCAAACCAGTTTATTTGAAACAAGAACTATTATCGGTAGTACTTAGAATGTACGGCTTTGCAAAAATGTATTTATACCAGCATACACTACTTAAAGAATGGATTCTACGAAAATTTAAAGATAACTTGAATGAACTTAATTCAGTCGACATAGGCCATTGGCATTTATGTTTATGACAGTCTATAACATAAACCGCAGTTATGATATTAGTCTATGGTCCAAAGAAAACAGATGATCTTAGTTACAAAACTGTCAATAGATTTAACACTTACTTAATTCCTTCCTAATTGTTGATTTACAATGTTTACCCTGGCGCGTTGGTTTGATATAAACTTAACCTTATCTAACCTATCTCAGATATCTTATAAAGTCTCTTGCAGTCTTTTGGCGTACTTCTCACTAACTCCTACTAATTACTATGTTTACACTAAGTGGCAAAAATTAGCTTTTAACACTTTAGAAATGTCTGACCACCCAGATGGCTATATGCTAAAAGCTTTCTCATGTCTGAGATAATCTTATATGTGTAATGCACCTGGTGGTAGCTACGTTAGGGTATCAGACACACATGGATAAGTAGAACTGTGTAACATGTCGTATTTATAATTTGATCTTACAGTTTATTTAAAATGTTGACAGTTCATTTCTCATAAACATATAACTTAGCAATTGATTTATTTCTAGATGGAATTGATTCCGTTTCGCTTAATTATGTTAGTTTTAGGTTACATTTTACCATAAACTCAAAATTGTCCACCCTCTGAGATAAAAGTAACATCACTAATTTGAATCCTATTTATTTATAGGATTCAAATTAGTGATGTCAGTATAATGGTTAATATATGTTTTATAGAAATATCAAAATGTTTTTCACTGTGTTTATTTATAGAAAGTAATGTTTTTGAAACTTATGTTGACGTGAGTTGCTTTGAAAAACATATGTTGTAATATGAAAAACGCTGAAGAATAAAGATGATTTTCATTTCATTTCATTTCATTTTTTTTATTTGAATTTAAGTTAAAACTACTAGTTGTTTATACATATAATTGCAGTCGGTAAATGAAGGCATGAATGTAACGGCAAAGTTCCTGCTGTTGACTGTCAATGGATTCATCAAATCTACCTAATAACTGATTGAATGAACGACTTAACATTTTCTGCCATAAAATGAAGCCATAACAGGAAATAAATGTGCCATAAAATCTGACAAACGACTGCATTTCTATACGCTCGGTCTTTTGTGTTTGTACGTGTGAATTGAAAATAAAGGTATTCATCTTGTTTCCCACTAACTTTGTGCCCTTACAATACATTCAGAATGTTTCCCACCAAATAATGGGGGACTCGGGTCAGCAGTTAAGTTTGAAATTGAAGAAAAGACATAGTTACAAAAACGAACCCAAAAACGTGTTGTACGTACTAAAACTTGACTTTAAAACAATCTAATCATGAATTCCTTACGTTTATTTTCAACCAATATAGAATATTGTTGCGGTAATTACTACTAGAAGGATAGAAGCAGTGGCATGGGCTATTACATCAAAAACTTAATTGATCATGGCAATATTCAAAACAGCAATTTAAAAGACAGAGATGCAAAAATCCGAGCTAAGAGACGTATCAAAAATAACGTCATTTTCAATAATTGAAGGTCAAATTGAGTAGACTTGATATTGCTGAGACCATGATATATTGAGAAGACAACTTTTTTTTAATGCTAGTATAGACGATTCTATTGTTTCTTAACCTTTTAAATTACGGTACAAAATTTTAGTTAACAATTTGTGTGATTCCAATTTTTCTTATGAGATTGTGACTTAAAAACATTTTAAAAAGGTTACTACTGCTTTTATAAAATTGAAAACTGATCTTAGAAACATCATTTACAGAAAGCCTTTTCATATGCGCCTCTAAATCCATATTGGTAATTGCTATGTAATGCACAGTATGTTCCGCAAATCTATATTTACATCACCACACGAATTTTCATATGTTATTAAATCTATTTAACTAGCTATTTTACATACTGTATACTACATCTTACTAATTGCAAAAAATAAATGCACTTAACTCCCCTGGTTACACTGACTTTCGATTAAAAGATCGATTAAAGGGAAAGCGTTAACCAATAGACCAAGGGTTTATATTGAGGGGTTAGCCTAACAACAATTCTTAGACAAGGAATATAGTAACAGATGGATTAGTAATTTGAAAAAGTAATTTACTGCAAATTATGGTTGTTTAACTGTCACATTTCCTTTTATTCTAGATTTTGAACAAAATGATTTAGCAGGTTATAATTGTAATTAAAATCTTCAAAACTTTGACGTTGTTGTAAAACTCACAATACAGTTTTGAAATAAGTGAAAATGACAAATAAATCCTGTACAGTATATACAGGCAAAGCTAGGGCCAATGGCCCTTTCTTACACTCAACCTGAGATATACCTACTTAGCAAAGTATTAAACTCATGTTGAAATGGTTTTGTAAGCCAAACTAAAATTAGATTGGTCTGATTGATCAAGATTGTTATGTTTTGGCTGTAATAACCATATACAAAAAGAAAGAGTTTATAAGTGGACTGTATAAATATTAACTGATGTTTGTTACCTTGATGTTGCATTGGTTTTCACTAGGCCTAATCCTCTTCATGTATTTTCCATTTAAAAATTTATTGTCCAGGGGCCCCTTTTTGTGGTCCTCTTCATATTGCATACTGGCAATTTAGTTAAATATATCTTGCTATGCTATTTTATATGTATCTTGCACTGCACTTGATATTAATTTTCACTATGATTTGATCTGATGCTTACTGGCATCAACATGGTTGTAGTAGCACAGTTAAAGTGAGAGAGAGATTGAACTGTACTGAATGATTTTTGGACTGCTTGCATTTACAGGACTGACAACTTAAAAAATGAAATTATCCTGACTATACCAACTTGGTATTATAAGAAATTAAATTAAATATTCTTTCTTGCTTACTAATAATAAATTAGTTGTCATGTTAAATAAAATATATAATAAAGTAGTAATTACATGACACGTCACAGATTTGACCTCCGATGCCTTTATTGCTGCTTTGAAAAGGTTCATCTCTCGCCGTGGTATGGTCTCCAACATATATTCTGACAATGGCAAGAACTTTGTTGGTGCTTCTCGTCAACTACAAGAAAGTGTTCAGCAGATAGCGTTGCAATCTCCTACACAACGATTTTTGGAAGATCAGCACATCACTTTTCACTTCATACCTCCTCATGCTCCCCATTTTGGCGGCATCTGGGAACGAGCAGTTCAAAGTGTGAAGAATCATCTGCGACGTGTCATTGGCGACACTTTATTGACCTATGAAGAGTTTAACACACTGCTTTGTCAAGTGGAAGCTATTCTCAACAGCAGACCTCTCACTCCACTGTCTTCGGAACCTGGAGAGTTAGAAGCCCTCACCCCTGGTCACTTTCTTAGTGGTGGACCTCTCGTCTGTTTACCTGAAGCTGATATCTCCGAAATACCTTCCAACCGTTTGAAGAGATGGCAGCAGGTCAAGTCATTTACACAACGCATATGGAAACGCTGGCATAAGGAATACCTGTTTACATTACAGCAGCGCTCAAAGTGGGTCAAGTTTCAGAAGAATTTGGAAGTCAATGGTCTTGTTCTAATTCACGAAGACAACTTACCCCCTCTACAATGGAGACTCGGACGCATCATCAAGGTCTTCCCTGGAAATGACAACATTGTTCGAGTTGCCGAAGTGGTTACAAAATCAGGACGCTTCACTCGCCCTGTTACAAAGCTCTCTCCACTTCCCATGGATTAAGCAATCATTAGTATCATTAGGCTAGTTTAAGTTTTCCCACACAGTGTCATTGCATTTTGTTTTTATTTTTTGAAGTCATTGATTTGAATTTTACAGATGAGTATGATTTATTTTGTTACCAAGTTTGTTGAACCTAGGGGTTCAAGGGGGCCGAGATGTCATGTAATTACTACTTTATTATATATTTTATTTAACATGACAAAAGATATTGTCAAAATAACTAATTTATTATTAGTAAGCAAGTGAAATAAATGAAATTATCCTGACTATACCAACTTGGTATTATAAGAAATTAAATTAAATATTCTTTCTTGCTTACTAATAATAAATTAGTTATTTTGACAATATCTTTTGTCATGTTAAATAAAATATATAATAAAGTAGTAATTACATGACATCTCGGCCCCCTTGAACCCCTAGGTTCAACAAACTTGGTAACAAAATAAATCATACTCATCTGTAAAATTCAAATCAATGACTTCAAAAAATAAAAACAAAATGCAATGACACTGTGTGGGAAAACTTAAACTAGCCTAATGATACTAATGATTGCTTAATCCATGGGAAGTGGAGAGAGCTTTGTAACAGGGCGAGTGAAGCGTCCTGATTTTGTAACCACTTCGGCAACTCGAACAATGTTGTCATTTCCAGGGAAGACCTTGATGATGCGTCCGAGTCTCCATTGTAGAGGGGGTAAGTTGTCTTCGTGAATTAGAACAAGATCATTGACTTCCAAATTCTTCTGAAACTTGACCCACTTTGAGCGCTGCTGTAATGTAAACAGGTATTCCTTATGCCAGCGTTTCCATATGCGTTGTGTAAATGACTTGACCTGCTGCCATCTCTTCAAACGGTTGGAAGGTATTTCGGAGATATCAGCTTCAGGTAAACAGACGAGAGGTCCACCACTAAGAAAGTGACCAGGGGTGAGGGCTTCTAACTCTCCAGGTTCCGAAGACAGTGGAGTGAGAGGTCTGCTGTTGAGAATAGCTTCCACTTGACAAAGCAGTGTGTTAAACTCTTCATAGGTCAATAAAGTGTCGCCAATGACACGTCGCAGATGATTCTTCACACTTTGAACTGCTCGTTCCCAGATGCCGCCAAAATGGGGAGCATGAGGAGGTATGAAGTGAAAAGTGATGTGCTGATCTTCCAAAAATCGTTGTGTAGGAGATTGCAACGCTATCTGCTGAACACTTTCTTGTAGTTGACGAGAAGCACCAACAAAGTTCTTGCCATTGTCAGAATATATGTTGGAGACCATACCACGGCGAGAGATGAACCTTTTCAAAGCAGCAATAAAGGCATCGGAGGTCAAATCTGTGACCATTTCCAAGTGGACAGCCTTTGTAGACATACAGATAAAAAGACAGATGTACACTTTAATATTCTGAAGTCTTCTGAGGTTATGTAGCTTTACGGCAATAGGTCCAGCGTAATCGACAGCTGAAGAAGAGAAGGGTCTTGTGGGAGTAACTCGACTACTTGGTAAGTCACCCATGAATGGCGGGGTTAGCTTAGGTTTGGTCCTGTAACAACTTATACAACGAAATACTCTGGCTTTAATAGCACTTCGAGCTGACAGAATCCAATATGTTTGACTTATAAGTGACTGTAATTGTTGTGCACCACAATGTAAATATAATATATGATAGTAATCTATTATAAGTCTAGTCACAAAATGGCTTTTAGGCAACAAGATAGGATGTTTTGCGTTGAAGTTTATTGCAGCATTTTTCAGTCGACCACCAAGGCGTATATGTCCAGCTTCATCCAAAAATGGGGCAAGTTTCTGCAAATGATTAGAAGGAGGTTTCTTGTTTTGCAGGTTAATAATATCAGAAGCAAATGATTCTTGCTGTGTTAGCAGAATTACACGAGTAGTAGCTGCTTGAAGTTCCTTTAGAGTAGTAGGTATATTGGTTGATGTATCACCTAAGTTTTGTGACTTTGACTGTTGATTTGAGCAAATCTTCGAACTCATTTTATCCTTACAGCGATGAAAAAATCTTAGTATAAGTGCAACAATATGAATTAGCTTCGTCCAAGATGAGTATCTTGTCAAAATTTCACATGTTGGTGTGCTGGTAGTGACCAAAGCGTCTATCGCAGGAGGTTTTATTTCCGGTAGCGAGTCTGTAGGTAAAACTGAAAATGAAGACTGAGGCCATTGAGGTGGAGGAGTGTTCAGCCAAGAGGGACCTGTCCACCAAAGAGGGTGATTGATGAGCTGAGACGTCATAAGACCTCTGGAACCGCAGTCGGCAGGGTTTTGTTGTGAGGCAATGTGTGCCCAAATGATCGGAGTAGTAGTTTCCTGAATTTGGGAAACCCTATTTGCTACATAAGTTTGAGCCTATAAGCTGGGGTTTTAATCCATGACAGCACAATTGTAGCATCGCACCAAGCATAAACTTGTTTGATTTCAAAATGCTTCAATAATTGAGAGCATACAAAATCTAATAGCTTCGAAAGCATGTGAGCACCACATAACTCTAGTCTAGGTAGAGATACACTTTTTAATGGTGCAACTCGAGACTTAGCCATTAGCAAATGGACGTTAACACTGTCACTAGAGTTAGTAACTCTTAAATATACAGAGGCGCAATAACCAGTTTCACTGGCATCACAGAATCCGTGTACCTGTAGTTGACTGCATGATTGAGTACTCAGATATCGAGGAATATATATCTGATCTGCTAAGGTTAGTTCTTGGGTGAACTGACACCATTTCAGTTTTAACTCTGACGGGAGAGGATCATCCCACTGGATTCCTTTTGTCCAAATGAGTTGCATAAAGGCTTTGGCCCAAAAAATGATTGGAGTAAGAAAGCCTAGAGGATCATATAATCTAGCAATAGTGGATAACACTGAACGTTTAGTGAAAGGCGTTGTAGTTGAGTTAACTACATAAGCGAATGCATCAATGTCAGGAAGCCACTTTAGGCCTAGAACACTACACAGCGGCTGATCTTGGGAGCAGAATTCTGAAGGTGTCCCTCGGTGTTCTGACGGAATGGCGTTGAGGATGTGAGTGTTGTTTGAAGCCCATTTACGGAGCGAAAATCCACCTTTCTCCATTAAACTAATGACATCTTGCTGAAGGCGTAGTCCTTCTTCCAACGTTTCAGATCCAAGTAGTGCATCATCTACGTAGATTTGTCCTCGAAGGGCATCAGCTGCTAATGGGTGATTTGTACTTTCATCTTCAATGAGTTGTTGTACAACTCGGTTGGCTAAGAAAGGTGACGATGCCATGCCATAAGTTACGGTACACAATTTGAATACTTGCATTGGTTTAGTAGGATCGTCTCTCCAATAGATTAACTGTAGATTCCTATCTTCAGGATGCAGCCATATGTTACGAAACATTTGTCGAATGTCACATGTGAAGACAATACGATGTCGACGAAACCCAAGGATAATGCTAGGGATGTCATTGTGAAGTTTTGGTCCCGCATGCAGGATGCTATTGAGAGAAATTCCTGACGAAGTGACAGAAGAGGCATTGAATACGACTCGTATTTTTCCTTCCTTGAACACTTCATGATGAGGCAGGAAGTGATGAACTGTGTCTGGAGGTAACAATGAACAAGGAACCATATGTCCAGAAGTTTTGTAATCTTCCATAAATTCGGTGTAGCTCTTCTTGAGTTCGGTATTGCGAGCAAGACGACATTCCAGGGATTTAAAAATACTGTAGGCCGACTTGGTAGAGTCGCCTAGAACTGAGGGGTTCTGTTTCAATGGCAGACGAACTTGGTATTTCCCACAGGGAAGACGAGAATGTGTATCCAAAAAATGTTCATTACACTTATTATCAGATAGGGATAGCTTCGAAGCATCTGGTACTACTTCCGCTGCCCAAAATCTTTGCACAGCACTGTGCAAGTCAAAATCAGATATGGTTAACAGATTCACTGTAGTATTGGCACTATTGCTTTCACTGTCAAACTGAACAGGAGCATGTCCTAGCAAAACGTAACCGAAGATGGTGCAAAGAGCAGTAGGCATATTTGGGCCTAAATGTATTGGTTTACCACTAAGGGTGTAAGAAAACAAATCTGCGCCAAGTAACATATCAACAGGAGAAGGAACGTCAAACGTTGGGTCGGCAAGGGCTAGACTGTGCATAATTTCCTTAACTTCCCTGGAAACACGGCATCTGGGCAAGTTACTAGTTATATTATCCAGAATAACCACAGGATGGTGCTTAGCAAGCACTCGGCCACTAATAGAGCTTATATTTACACGTACCAAGCCTTTAGAAGGAACAATGGTGGACGAGATACCAACGATGTTTCGATTTTCAGTAAGTTTGCAAGCTAGGCCTAGGTTACGAGCACAATTTTCTGTAATAAATGTTTGCTGAGCAGCACTATCCAATACAGCTCTTGCTACTATTGTTTTACTACCAGTGCTCAGATGAACTAGTGCAGTACCTAACAGCACAACATTACCAATGGCGTGGGACAAGCCGACCAAAGCTGTCTGTGGCTCTTTATCAGAATTTTCCAGAGAAGGATTATGTGTTTTGCCTGCAGAAACCTGCTTATCGCAGTCCTGTTTTGAATTATTGTTTTGTGAGCTCAAATGTAACAAACTGTTGTGACGTCGCTTGCAAATTCTACAATTACGTGTTGAAGCACAGTTTCTTATGCTATGGTCTTTACTTAAACAGTTATTGCATAATGAGCTATTTCTAGCAGCAGTCAATCGTTTTTCAGGGGTAAGGCCTAGGAAGTCATCACATTTAAATATCAAGTGTCCATTTTTACGGCAATGATTACAAGTCTGAACGTTTGCAGAGAATAGAACAGTTTTAGCCTGTGAAGAAGTTGCCTGATAGGAAGTGGGCGGTTTTAGCCTAGAATTAGGCTTGGGATATGCAGAAACACTTTTGACTGAAGTTTGGGTCAAGTTTGCTGCTTCCAGCTGAGTACATTCCTTTTCGATGAAATCCAGAAATTCCTTGATTGAAGGAACCTGTTGCGGTTCAT